TTACATTGTATAGCAGAGAAGATATTATGTGTTATTATGAACAACAATTTAATTTATAACAATTTAATTTATATTAATTTGTACATCTTTTAGATATGTATCATTATTTTATAATATATATGTTAGACAAGTTTGACAGTTAATTGTTTGCGTTTTACTATTAATTTCCTTCAATAAGATTATTATTATATAAGATTATTTATACTTATACTTATTTTTGTCATGCATTTTGATATGCATTAATTGCTATTAAATCTGTAGATGAAGAAAGTAACTTTAATAATTAATTTTTTAATGTATATTAACTTTTTAATGTATAAGCCCAAAATTTTTAAAATAATTCTTTTTGGCATAAAAAACATTTGTATTGCAAATTATTTTACCAAAACACGATCCGAAGATTAAAAATAGAAAATTTGAAACAGTTAAAATGATACTATATAAATTTATAAATGTATTAAAAGAAAAACAATATATTTTCTTCTTTTTTTATTGAAAGATTATTTAGAATGTAAAACATAATGAAAGAAAATATATTAATTGTGCCAAAAGAATAAGGAGAAAGAGAGAATTCGCTTCCTAATGTCAAATTATTTATTTCAACTTTGTTAATCCGAAAAAGTATCCGGATCTTTAAATATTTAAGAAAATTTACATCTATTTAAATTACTCTGGAAATGGAAATTCTATTTTATAGTCCTTTCGACTAATTTGTCGGAGCGAAGAAAGTCTCGGAGCTCGAGCGATACGCTTCGCGACCCAACGCGGAAAGACGCTGGAGACGATCGTCAAGACGAGCGAAGCGCAGCCAGCGAGACGAACGATTCAGCTGAGTGAACGAAATAAACCGCGGTACGCTTTGCGCTCGTCTTGCTTGGATATTTTCATGTTGGATCCCTCGTATTCTTCTCATACATCTCTCCCGTTAGGCATTCTCTTTTCTTTGATATCTCGTCTGATTAATAACACACTTCTCCTTCCGCGCGTCTTCTATAAGGCTATCATTCGCATTGTAATTAAGAGTAGTTTGAGAAGTAATTAAGATACCAAGGCCATATATCGAAGTTTTTCTAGTATGCGAGACAGTGTGAAAAGAAGCGTCTTGGGTGAAACGGCCCGACGTATAAATCCAATCGAGAGTGACAGAATCGTTGAACGATCGAATCTGCACGCTTCGCGGAGCAGGGGTCTCTAGTCGTTTCAGCGTTTTTCCACCTTACCTCGCCTTTCAGATGGTTGGAAAATATAAATTAGACCACGCGGCTTGTACCACCAGTTTGATGAAAGATCTCGATCGAAGATGATTAGAAATCACGTATGCGAATTTCTCTCTTTTATCGTGTGACTAACATAAACTTATAAACGTTACCTATCATTAAGAAGAAACACGCGATTCCGGAAATAGAGTAACGTAGTGTTTGCTTTTAACGTGTGAAAAATTTATATAGCGTTATTAAAAGCATTCAATAAATTCAATATTTAATCAGTGCTGTTTTGATTGATTGTAAAAATAATAATTAATTATTATTCATTTATAAAATATACGAAATTTGCGATAAATTTGTGATATATATGTATATTCAAATGTTAATATTTAATATTAATATTCAATATTAATATTCTATTCAATAATTAATAAGAAAAATAAGATAATCAGTTTCACAATCAACGAGTGTATACGAGTGAATTTTTTACGATTTAATAACCATTAATAGCCACATATCAAACAATATTTCTTTATAATGCTATGAAGCAAAAAACAATCGAGAAGAATGGAGCAGCGACGAAAAATTTATAATGTAATCATCACTATTCTTCTAACAATCATCAGCATTCATCTAGTGTCATCAAGTCAGAATTTTTACACAGTTACCACAATCAATTCTACTAGCAGCGACGATGTATGGTTGCAGCCTTTGAACACCACGACATCGATCTATCAAGATTTCACTACTCATTTACCGATTTCAACAAGTATTCAAGCAGAAGAAATACTTGATTCCGAAGAAACGAATACTCTGAGTCGATATGCGAAACCGTCTCGCTACCAAGAAGAATACAATGAAAAGGATGATGATCTTGAAGAATCTCCGGATTATGTGATACCGTATTCGGAACATGAAGATGCGAGAAACGTGTCCACTCGACCCAAGTATGTCGCTCCAGGAATTTGGGCGAAGCCGCCACCGGATAAAAATATCCCCTTGAACTTCGTGCCGACGAAGTTGCACGCTCAGGTTCGTGGAACTCATACTGTGAAGAGATTGCCGCAACGAGAGGCGATTAAAAGCGCGCAAACCGAAGAAGAGAAACACAATGCGCTCCGATTAAGAGAGGTTGTCACCAATTCCAAGGTCAACACGGTCTACACCGAGGAGGGATATGAGGATTCGGCGTATGATCATGCAGGACATGTCCGGGATGCCGATTTCCACGAAGGATTCGCGCGTAAGCTTCACGATCGAAAAAATAATAAACTTAATTCCTCGAGCAGTAAAAAAAAGAAAGAGAAGAATGTGATGCCCGATGAATTTAAGGAATACGAGGAGGATTATCGGGATCATTTGGACGAGAACGAAAAGGCTTCGGATGACGAAATTGATCTGACAGGATATGGCAGAAACACTTGGGAGGGATCCGAAATAGATTCTAAACTTGTTGCTGAGAACGGTATTCGAAAGCTGGAAAAAGATATCGAAGAAGAAGCCGAAGAAGCCGAGAAAAGCTCGAAGGACTATCAAAACGCGCAAGAATCAAAACTTCGCAATGACGTTGAGGTTGCTAATACAGAATCAGAATCAGAAGGTTCTCATAGTAAATACGATTTAAAGGATGAAGAGAACAAAGCCGACAAGATAAAAAAGAAAAAATCTAAATTGCGGATCGAAGAAGACAATATTATAAATAGGAAAACGAAGCAATCGCCCAGGTCGGAACGGAAAAAGAAAAAGAATCTCTACCGTGAGAATCAAGAGACAACCGCGATTCCATATAACAGTTCGATCGATATTAAAATACTCGCAAATTCCTACGATTTTTTAACAAATCCTTTAAAGCCTTCGCGAGGATATTCCATCGATCAAACGACCTTGCGTTACGTCGTCCCGACCGCGACGACTTCGTTCCATCAAGTTGATGATCAACCGACAACGATCAGTTACAGTCAACTCTTCTGGAACTACTTTAAAGCGAGGCAAGGTCCATCGACTACCGAGTCGTCCATGCTCGTCCCGGACTCGGCGACCATGAATCCGCAACAGGAAGAGCGGGCGCCGATTGCACTGGCAACCATCGACGGTCACGGTCCGTATCTTTTAAAGAACGACGATGTCAACAACGTGGTATCCACAGTCGCGACTTACACCAGTGTGCAACCCCTTCTGCCTCAATCCTTGCCGTCGTTGAATCCTAACGACACGGAATATTCATCTCCAACGAATCTTCTCGACAATAGAACGATCAGCAGTACTCCGGCTGTCATGACGCTCAACATCACTCAAGAAGCTTACTCTCGAATAGCTGATTATTATGAGAATCCTTTCCTCGGATCTGTTCTTGACAACAGTAAGATTGCCGTTGCCAAAAATAAGCTCAAATATAAAATCGCCATGAGACCAAAATCGGAAAAAAAACCTGTCAAACCAGCCTATGAATCACCAAGCCCTAATCAACAAGATCCACCGTCGTCTATTTTTAAAAAAGAAGACAAGAATAAGAAGATCCGTGACGAACTGAGTGCGAAATACAACAAGATGCTGAATTATGTTAAAAGCAAGCAAAAGACTCCATCTCTTCCGGAAAATAAAATTATTTTTTCAGAAGATCTTACTCTAATGAGACCGCCGACTCTTCACCAGGCCGCTTTCTCGATCTTTCCGACTGATCGTTCTCCAGTTATAGACCATTTGAGTGTATTCGTCAAAAGTGAAACACCTCGGGAAAACTGGAAAAACTTATTGCAAGACCAATTTCATTCTCAACCGTTGAACGGGATTGAATTACCATTGCGTTCCGATATTCAGCCTTTTGCATACGTTCAACCAGTGCGTCTGATCTATCATAACAATCCATCTCCAGCCACGAAACTGCTGCCACCACCGTTATCGTTGGCGAGCACTTATGCCAATTATCATAACAATTTGCAGAGTGACAATTATCCTTTTTACAGCGCCGGTAAACCGCAGCAAAAGCGTGATAATGCGTTCAAATATTTTCCACTAGTCTCCAAAGCGAACTGGAGAGCACGATCCAGGAGAAAGAGATCCGAGTTTCGCAACGGCGCGATTGTCGATGTGAAAGTATCGGCAAACAATAGTATGACCAATGACGATGAATCGGAGCAACGAGATAAAGATACATTTGAGAGGATAACTGACAGATCGAAAGGAAAAACGTCGAATCGAAAAAACATCGATGCATCGATAATTGATGTTCCAGATACAATGAGACTAGTATCCCCCGTGAGATCGAGACACGACAAGAATGAAACATTCACGACTTTAATAAACAAAAAGACTAATAGCGGAAACGAAAACAATTTAAAGCCAGAAAAAGATTCAATATTCTCTCAATCAACAAAAAGAGATGAATATGAAAATGATACAAATGTTCAAAAATTGACAACTAATAAGAAAAATTTGCTGCAAGACGAAACGCGATTAAAGGAGAACTTCAAGAACACGAGAAACCATGAAGAACTGTTGAATGACTCTCCCAAAATTAGTAGCGACGTTATCGATAAAGAAATCGCCGCGCGTTTTAACGATAATAATGAAACTTCGGCAAAGATCGAAGAGCAAGAAAAAATCGAAGTTGAAGTTCCCAGCTTTGATTACATCGAAGAGATCGCTGAAGACAGCCTTGTGGAACCTTCCACAACAACAGAAGCCGTCATAGATTCGAAAAAGTATCCATTTTATAATAACAGAGACATACCGAGCACGTCCGCTTTGAAATACGTCGTTGATCCTAATACGATACCGCGGAAGACCTCGCGCGGAATGGAATTCTATAATTCTCGGAACGCTTACAAGGAGTGCGACGAGGTGGAGTCTAATGTGGATGAAGTGTTGCCCGAGAAAGAGGAGCCAGATCCCGAACAAGGTCCGCGGGAGGATCTACCGCGTCTTCGTGGCCTGGGAGACAAGCTGAACTGCTTCAAGGCTAAGTACTTCGACGAGAATCCTCTCGACAATCCGCTGTTCGCCGAAAAGTTGATACAGGAGCCGACTCAGCCTTCGGAATTGGATCCAGCAAAGTTCGCCTCCAGGATCATGGTGTTACCTAAAGAGGACGACGATTATGTTGTGCCTCGAGTGTCGAAGAAGCCGGAACGTAGCGGTCGTCAATGGTGGAACCGAAATCGACCATACGAGATGCACGAGTCGATACAGGTCAATTACAAGCACGATCCACGAACTGGAAGAGGCAGAAATGCGTATCTGCACACTGTGCGAGGTTCGAGGCCACCTAACACGATGCACAGACCAAAGAATCGAAAATTGAAGCCAAAAGTCAGCACCACTACGCAGTCGCCGAAAATGTATCAAACTGTATCTTATCAAAACCAGGTTTACGAGGATGTGATGGGCAACATCAGAAACATGGCGAACGCTTATCAGGTCTACGAGATAACCACTTTGCCATCTATGCAGATCTTGGATACCGCCGATAGTGAGAAAGCATTAAAGATTGCGGACATTACATCGAATTCTTCTTCAAAGGAAGACAATACGTCGGAAGATGTTATTGATGACGTTAATGATGCTACGGATGTCATAAGCAACATGAAATCGTCGGAGATCGAAGGATTAGTGCCACCTCCAAAATATTCAGCTCCGAGGAAAACAAGTTACAGAAAATATAGACCACTGGGTAAGAGAAAAATAACTTTGCTGAGATCTTCAAATCCTCCTCGTATTATCGCTCATCATCATACCATTAAGATAAACAAGCGCAGCACAGATGATATCGCAAAGAATTTCTCTGAAAGTACGATTAATAAAAATGAAAAGATTACCACTGAAGAACCTATCAAAATTAATATCGGAAATGATACAATGATAAAATCGATAGAAGTGTCGCAAAATATAAACTCGACGCCTAAAATGTTGGACTTGAATATCGAGGAGAGCAGACAAATTAACACGCAAGAAAATTTGTCGACGACTTTGAGGATCAACAATAAAAAAAGACGAAGAAACTCTACGAATAGCGATGAGACGAACGAACCTTCTCGCAAAGTCATCTACACAATCAAAGATCGAATCAGATACTCGAAGCCCAAATGGGATACGAGAAGATTCGGTAAGTTTAGCACGACTTCGAAAACGGTAGACGAAGACAGCAGGCGAAAAGAGCCTCGGTATAATTATTTCGAAAGAAAGAAGAAGCTAGATGATGATTGGCGAAACAATTCTACGATAATGAATTCGACGGAAAACACATTTGAAGTCGGAAATACAACATTATCGACAAAAGGTGAAGAAAGTAACACAACCGAAGTATATCGCGCAGAAGAATCTGTCGTGCATCAAACAATTTATAGAAATAATAAATATCCAGAGCGAGAAGAGAGCGTTGATGAAATAGAATCTGCGGAAAATACCGATGATGAGATAGAAAGTGCTACAAACACGTATCAAGTTCGCGAGGATATCGATGAGGAGCACAATTCTACGACCACGAAATCGACGAAATCGACGAGTCCTTCAAACTCGAAGAAAGTCCTGGATCTACGAGAATATTTGGAATCTGAACCACCAGGATACGCAGAAACATTCCCCGATGAAACGACGACATTATCGAGTAAATATCGAACAGACGTAAATCACGAGTTAGAAGACGACGAAGAGAAGCAGGACGAAGAGACTGATTATCCAAAAAATGTGGCGAATCCATGGGACGATGATTTCTCCGAGAAAGCTGAGGAACAAGTCGAAACGCCGATGAAGACGGAATCGTATGCGCAGGACGACGATTCTGAAGAACTTTCTTCAAAGGAAGAGGAAGCTTCTGACAAAGATCAGACATTTTTCACGTATACGAAACGGCCATCATCGCTTGAAAAAGAAAAGGATGACGAACGCATCGAGAAAAAAAGGTTTTATCGTCCATTTCCATTTTCAAGATATAAGTCGAAGTTCAAGAAGGAAAGTGAGGAGGATGATTCCGAAGAGGAGAGCGAAGAAAAGAATGAAGATTATGTATTTCCTTGGCACGCCGACGAAGAAAATAAAAAAGATAAGCGCAAATGGCTACAGAACTTTGATAGATACGAATATCCTTGGGAGAGAAGAGAGAGACAGGCAAAAGAGCGACGAAGGAATCAGAAACGAGCCAATAGACTTAGAAAACTGATTTTCGACGATGAGGACGAAGAAGAATCTAGGAGATACGAGAGACCCGTTTATCCTTGGGAGAAATACGATGTTCCCTCCAAGCCTCGCATAAATACGCGTAGACGCGACACTTTACGCAAATATATCGATGATAGCGAAGAATCTACCACCGAGACATTACCATTCACGAAGTTCAGCAGCAGATATAGTTCCACTGACAAACCAAAACCGTCAAAACCTCTTAATGCAGGAGAGATTAGTCGATCCATTAAAAAACTTTTGGAGGAAGATATAGATGACGAATCTAAAGAAAAAACCTTGGAAGAAGTTGAAGAAGATCGCTCTCCTTTATTCGTACAGAAATCATCACCTTCTCCGGACAGAGAAACTTCCAGAGCAACAATCGTACCGGAAGATATCACGCAGCCACCAAGAAGAAAAAATAGAAAGAAAACCTCTCAAGTTGATAAGAATGTAACTAATGTAAATAACTCGCACTTTGATTCAAAAAAATTAACAAATGCAGGAATAATTAATGAAGAAAAGGAAGAGAAGCCAGCGATTGAATATCAGAAGCCGAACAAAAGTAACGACGAGTTAGAATCGTGGATACAAACAGGAAGCCAGTTATCCAACAGTACAAAGGAAGTTTCTTTTGGAACTGAACAACCATTTGGAACTAGAAAACATCGACAAAAAATTTTGAAAAAAAATTCTACAATTTCCCTTAATAATGCATCTGTCAAGCCTATTAAACCCGTCAAAAAAAAACGCAGAAAACTTCAAGCGTCAGTTTCGCCTTCGCCGAGAGTCGACCTTGACACAAGTAAATCGGTTTTAACACCTGTTCAAAGAAGATATTCCAAGGCAGACGAGGCTACAAAGACAAATACGTCGGAGTCTTCTAAAAAGGATACTAAAACGAGGCAGACTGATAATCTTGAAATTGAAACTTCAACTCCGAAAACCCGAACGATCGAACATCGATCGAAAGTTTCAAAAGAAAAAATCTTCACGAAAACCACTTATCCGAACGAAGCAGAGAATTTTTATCCCACGAATGTGACATTCGCTCGAATAGAATCAGGAGAAAAGGTAAAAACCAAAAAACGCAAAAAGAATAAACGAAAAGATAATAGGAATTCAAATGATAAAGAAAAGTTGATAGAACGAGAGATTGAGAAAAAAGATTATGATATTGATCTCGTCAATACAGATAAAATAAAAACACCAGTAATCTCAGAAAAATCTCCTTCGGTTGAAAATGAAAATCTTTTCAAAAATTTTGATATGAAGAAAGATGAAGTTAAAAAGATAAGTGATCATAATACTTACGACGGAATCAGTAATGACGAAAACAAGAATGACAAAAATGGCTTTCGAATGTTATCAGAAGTAAGTTTGTTACCATATTATAAAACAGTTGAGCTGACTGAATTTGGTTCCAGATAAATAGCATCTTTTATGTCTTGGATTTCAAAAAATTATAACTAACAATGAGGCATGAAAGATTCTTGTTATTTTCAAATAAAATATTTTCGTAAATAATTCCAATATTTTCTAATATTAAGCCGACATAACATTACAATATTATAATTTGAAAATTTTTCAAATCATTTATTCATAGTTTGTAAAAATGCAAATATTGTTAATGTAAGAGTTATTCATCGAGCTAGAAATTATATCATGAATATAATGCTCCCATCAATTATGTATAACATCAATTAAAATAATTATATGAATATACATGTACATATAATCATATACTTATCATAACTCATTTATAACTAAATTTTAATTTTAGGCCTACACAGTAACTAACTTACTGCAAAATATTCCACCTAATCAAATAAGAAGCAATCAAGCCGATGAGAGTAGAATAAATAGAGGATGGAAAGAGCAATACAGCGAGGAGATGGAGAATAGAGAAAAGGATACAGAAGGAAGAGAGAAATCGTTATTACAGGCCAAGTTTATAAAAGATCCGGAGCGCAGGCTATATTATTATGTGGAACACAAATGATAATCAGCTAAGAAATTTACCGTTCAATTACAAGAAGACATTTTCTATTTTTCTCTATTAACAATAAATAGAGATGTGTGGAATTAATTTTAAAATCTTAAATAATTATATAAAATTTATTTATTAGCTTTCAAATTCATAATCAAGTTTAATTTCTTTTTATTTCGTCATTTAATAACATAAGTAAACTTGATCATGTTTTTCAAAAAATTAAAATTTGTCTAAAATTTATCTCAAAGATTTGATTATTTATACTAAAAATGAACATTGTATTATAAATTTTTAAAATTTTTACAAAAAAGCAAAGAAAATGTCAAATAATTGCATTTTATTTTAATATGTACAATATGTTTAATGCTTGCAATAGTCACATATGTAGAATATGTATGTTACATTTACTGCACAATTTTATTAATGATGATTGTGGCATGAATTCTGTTTAATTCTATTTTAGAGATTTCTGTATTATAGAGTTAATTAATCTTTACTCTCTAGAGAAAGCGCATTTTAGACATGGATGATTAAATCTGGTCCAGCTAGAACTGTTGTAATAGTTTTTTTTTGATCGATAATTACGTTATATATAAGATTTTTTAGTTATAAACAAACGTTACAATAGGATTGCATAATGAAACGTATTCGTTCTTATGTTGCCTACGTGAAGAAATCGTGAGAAATATTGGAGAAATTATATTTTTTGTTATTTAAAGTAACAAAAAAAATCTTATTAGAATTAAAAAATTTTCTGTTCACTCATGGATTCATAATACGCCGACAATTGCCATTTTTTTTAGTCTGATCGATAATACAATCCGTTTTCGAATATACATAATACATCCGCTTTCGAATTCAAGCCTTGGATCTTAACGTTGAAATCTTTTCCCACGGAATTAATCATTCGATGATACAAGCGTGGATATCGCAATTATTACAATACTTTGTTTTGTTAAGCTGTGAGTAATTATAATACGTAATATTCTATGCATAAGACAGAAGAGAAAGCAAAATATTTCACGGAGTTTTTCTCTTAATGGCTTGCAATCATTCTATAAAACAATCTATATATAAAATGTAATTTTTTAATTAAAAAGTATACAAAACTCTACTCTTATATTCTTACTCTTTATATTCAAATAATATAAAATTTATCTTAATATAAATCTTTTATAATATTTTTATCTTATATTTCTATCTTTTTCTTTTTTATTTTACTATTTTCTTCTTTAAAAATTAATTTAACAAAATGCTTTCTCTCATTACAAACATTGTTTTAAAAATTGTGCTTATTATTTTTAATTATAATGATTATTTAATAATTATATATAATCACGGTTTTCATTAAATTAATATATTCTTTAACGCTCTCTCTTCTGTAACCGCAATATTTTGGGGTCAACAGACATTATCATAACAATCATTGTGATTCGCGAGATTATTGACCTTGTTGCATAATCGTTGCCCGTTTTTGAGAAGTGGATAATCTTGAACTAATTTTCATCGAAATGCGATCATCTCTTTGCGTTGCTTAATGAACGACTTGTTAATAATTGCTCTATCTGTTTGCATCGACCGATTAACGAGAGAAACGCAGAGCAATTACGCGTAATGCAACAAAGTCTCGGTGCACGTGAATAGTCATTGCACTATGATTTACCTCATTACGTGATCATGCATATACAGAATGCCGAACAAAATAACATACATTATTCTTCATTATTGCATTTTTGTTTGATTGTATATCGTATCTTATATTGAATTTTTACATAAATTTTTTCTAGTTTTCGTTTTCAATTTGTAAAAGACTCTTATATTCATAGATTATTTCACATATTCAGAGATTATTTTCAAAGAAATTATTTACAAAGGAACAATTTTTCTCAAGACAGAAAGAAATATGTTTTGTTCATAGATTTTTATTATTATATCTTATAAAATATATAACGTATATATCTTATAATACTTGTAACATTTTCTCTCTTAAGCCATTTTGCAGATGTACTCTGAAAGTTACATCGACCGTGTAAAATTACCTGAGGCACGTAATTGATCCATTTTTACCTTGATCACGTGATAGCAGTGACTAGCATAGCCAAGCGTATAAAGAGAAAGAGAACTTCGTCTCGCGTTATAATAATAGAATATTGTACCGGAAAGGAAAGGTGTACGCACATCGCGCGTCTCACTCATGATCACGATTAGAAAAGAGGTCTATCAGCCGCTCGAGAAGGCATGACGAATATATATTCATGAGTAACCCGTCGTTGTCAAATAAATTACATATATGTGGATGTAGTTCAAGATTTCTAGCTTCTTTTAGCTTCAAGATTTCGTTCTTCTTCTTCTTGATTCTTCCTTTCATGGTTGAATTGTAACAATAATGGAGACAATAATAATAATCCGATACATAATCAATAAAAATTTAAAATTAAATCGTCTAATTATTTCGATTATGTAAATCTAAGAACGAATAAAGAAATAATGTTCCTTGACATTTAAATAACTTTCTAAGCAACATGCGTAAAGAAACGCGTTTAAGTGACACTCAATTATTTTATATAACGCACATTTCTCAAGATACTATTTTGAAAGATCATAGATAATTATAATTGCTAAATTAACTTAAATTACACTGTCATAAGTAATGTAAAAAAATCTCTCGTCTATAAAATACTTTCTAAGAATTTTCTTTTATTAAGCGAAGATGTGCTTATTTTATAAAAATACATTGTATGTCAAAAATAATTATATTACATTAGATAACTGTGTGAGATGACAAGCGTCCTCGCGTAAAAAAAATAAAATTAGTTTGTGATACATACGTAACTAATTAAACATGATTTATTTCGCTAACGAGAAATGTGCCTTTGAAAACCATATATCACACGTATTGTTGCTCCTTTTCCACATATATTATTGGTGATCGACGATGTAAATGTTAGTGAGTTCGATGACAATTCGATGACAGCTTGGTGATAATTCATAGAGCGAGATTAGTAATAATCATAATACATTGATATTTATTTGCAAAATTTATTAATTTAATATATTTAAAATATATTAAAAATGTGTATCTGATAATGTGAATCTTCATTATATTCATTTTATTTTAGAAGGTGGAAATATAAATAATATATAATTGATATATTAATACGTAAATTTTCTATTTCTCTCATGTTTTTTATATTGATGTTGATTAAATGGCTCGTTATTATTTCATTGAATATAAAAACAATAATATATATATAATTATAAAACAAATTTCTTTTGTACTATCTTTTATCATTCTTTATTATTCTTATTCTTTATTCGATGAAATTGGACATAAAAAATTGTAATTGATTCCAAATAAGTATTTGTTTACAGGATATTTTAATCTCAAGTCGAAAAAAAATAATTTAAAAAAAATTGATCTATACTTTTCTTGATATTGTAATGAAACATGCATTATTTGCCCGAACAATTAGTTATATTCGAAAATATATAACTAGTTTGACAAGAATGAGATCAAATTGTAGTCTGAAATGTTTGGAATTGCATAAAACCTAAAATTTCTTGCTAAGGAATTGAGTCAATTTAAAATTTCTTGCTAAGGAATTGAGTCCATTTTAAGTGTTGTTACGTACATGTCATTACTTCTATTAATATAATTAATATTTCTACAATTACTATTTACATTTTTATTTATTAACTCAATTACATCTTAATCTGAAAAGACATTTGATGCATCTCGCATCAGTTCTATTTAAAACCAAATGGAGTACAAAGAGAAAACGGTATTTCGTCGAGGAAATCAGTCTTTAGAGCGCAAGGTAAAAGTTATCGCTCCTCGATGTGAGAGGTAATTTCCAAGGTTAAGGTGCCCAAGATGATATAATATTCTCGTGCGCGCGCTCTGATAAAATCCTAGACGAGCGAATAAAACGCGCGTGATCGAAAGGGAACACCGAGTTTGCGCTTAGCCAACGTTAATACGCACGTCATTCCAGACCACGCAACATAATTCGATCTTTGCTTTTGTATCCTTTGTGTTCAATACGTGTTGTGTCCTGCTAGAAACGGCGATATGCTCCATACTAAGGTACTTGAAACATGTTTCATAATTGAAAATAAATAATTAATTTCAGGAGAGTAATTTCAGAAGAGTGATTCTCATAATTATGATATATTTTATATTTAATGATATTTTCGATAACAAATTGAACGCATCTAGTATTATTTCATATCCATTATATTAGAATATTATCTTTTATATGAAATCAATTATTACATAATTATTAGATGAGTAATTATTGATAGAATATCAAAATTAATGTATAAAGTAATACGTCTATGACTAGTATCGTATAATTTTATTTAAAATATAAAACACAAAATATATGAAAAAAATATTTATTTCTAAAATAATTTTTTTAAAAAATATTTAATAAAAATCTAATAAAAATATCTAATAAAAAAATCTAATTGAGATTAGAAATGTGTAAATGAAGACAAATTATATTTAATAAGAGACTGTATTTATTTCATAATTACAATTTTTTGTTAGGAGAATAATTGAATGAGAAAATTATATGTCTGGGATATTATATCATTTTGATAATTATATTAGAAATAATGTGAATAGATTTATTATAATTGTGGATTGTTTTGTTTAATTTTATTTAACATAAAAGACAAGAAGAGAAAGCATGAGATACGCTTTTTACATATTATTTTTTTCCTTGATTGCTTAAATTATTGAATGTAATTGGATTCGAGGCCAAATGCCTACGCAATACCTCTCGTTTATTCAATATTAAAATATTCGATAACGATGACACAATCATGACAAATCTGTATATTTAATTTACAAAAAATCAGGCAAATAATATTTTCACTGATGCAAAAATTGTATTAGTATATAAGAGTGAATATATACAAGAAAATAAACACAGATTATTAAGTAGTTTTTTTAATACTTATATTATGCTAGCAATCACAGTTGCAGAACAATGGAATATATG